ATACAAAGCAGAGCTCAGACCAGCCACAAGCAGCAAGCCCCAGGGCCCATAGCTGTGACCTTCTTTTTTAGACCAGCTCAACGACATTCATAATGCTCCAGTGAAGCCACGCTCTATGAATTTAAAAGCATCAAAAATGTCATTCCAGGCATTTAGTTTAAGTCTTGGGCCAGGGAATATGATTGCTAGGCACTACCGTACAGATTGAATTAGAAGTATCCATAAAAGTGGATGGGATTTATGCTTGAAAGTCACTTAGCCAAGGGCTTTTTTCAGTGGTGCCTATTCTTTATTTCCCCACTTCCATGAAGTTGTACGGGAAGGAGAGAGGAAGAACGGACAGGACAAATGTGGCTCACAGCTGCTGTAAACGTAGCATCATGGTGATTAGGAAGTGGAGCTATCCTGGTGTCACTTCTTGCCAATACTGCTCTAATGGAACGTGCTCAAAGGAAGGCTCAGCCTCAGTGTAGCTGCTGCCACAGCACTGCAGTAGTGCTGAGAAAAGCATGAATGTGACAACTACACCCCATCAATAAATGGCATGTGTTTCTTCTAGAGTGCCATTTTTTTGCAATGCCTCTAGTAGTCACCTTATGCAGTGCCTCCATTGCATCTTCCTACTAGAATTGAGATCTTAAGATTTGATTTATTAGAAAAAATATATATATTCCCATGTACAGTGAGTGCAGTAGACTTTTGTAAAGTTGCTAAAAAACTTGCCAAACAAACAAACAACAACAACAAAAATGGCATTGCTTATTTAAGTAACTGGAAGACTAGGAAATTAATGACCTTGTATTAGGAGATCAAGGAGGATCAGGTGTGATTATAGACAACACCTGTAAAGAAGCAGCTCAATAAAGGTTTATTGGCTGACCTTTAAAAAGGAAGGTTCTTGGTGGGTACAGGGTTTGGCAGTGGGGTATGCAGTGACCAGCAGAAGGAAGCAGTGTGCATGGGACATAACTCTAAGGTAACTGAAAGCAGTGTTTTCTTCCTTATTTTTCTTACCCTGTTTCTGGAGGTCAGGTTGTAGTTCTGTCTCATGAGATCCCAAACATGAAAAAGCAGCACAAGATAGAGATCTGTTAGTTCATTCTCTGCCTGTATGTTTAAAAGCAAAACAAATAGTATTTTTCATTCTAGGTGACTTCTAATGACCTTGACAAGTAGACTGAGCTACACAGCTGCTAAAACTTATTAAAGTCTTAGGCGATATTTTAATAGGGATATCCAACCTAGAGGCTGGAATAAACTTTACAGCTTTCTATCCTTGTGTTCACTATCACCTAGTATGTGACATGAGGAGCAGGTACCTTGTGCTAAGCGTGGATATGAGGTAAATGCCTTGCAGGCTGGACTACCTGACTGGCAGCTAGCATCCTTCTTAAAGAAAACATGGAAGTTTAGGACCTAGATGTTTAAAATGTAAACACTGAGTCTAACCTCCTGCCTAAAGCAGAGCATAGGATTCGATGCTGTATCAATATGACACCTGACATACAGTATGGTAAGTCACAGTAGGGAGATGTGACATATTCTGGAGAGCATTGCTAAAGATCCACATGCTGATCAGGAAGACAGCAACTGGAAACTACCCCTTCGGCAGGAACAATGGCAACAATTGAAGTGAAAGAGTATAGTGTAATTAGAGCTGTGTTATCCAGAGTTGTTGTATGTATGTGGCTTTGGGGAGGGGGTGGCTGCTTTCTTTTTTCATCTAGATCAGCTATACTGTAGATAATCATCACTAATATGAAAAATTAAGAGTCAATTTTCTGCCTTCCTTGGATGGAAGGTCTCTAAGAAAAATCCTGGCCCTGTGGGGAACCAGGTGCAGAGCTATATAGTGTTGTGCTTTTTCTAGAATCGTGAAATGGGGAGGAAATGCTTCCAAAAGTCTCACCTCTGAGAGATGTGGCCAGAGAGCTTGAGCACCTGTAAGCACTGAAGGTTTCATGGTACTTCTAACTGCTATAAATTAAAACACAGCATCCTGGCCACATTCCATTGAGGGCAATTGATTCATTCTCCCCAAATTTCCACTCTCTAGTTCTAATTGAATTTTTTTAAAAGTGAATCTAATCAACCCGCAGGACAAAACACTTATTTTGCCTCGCTCTTGACAAACAAGTGTTTTGTTTGCATTTTTGTCTCTGTAATTAATGTGCCAGCTGCCAATAGTGAAAAGAACTATAGAAATTAATAATTATTTCCTTTGTAAATACCCTGTACAACATTGTTGGCTTGGAAGAGTAGCAACGATTCCAAGCTGGAGATGGCTGTATTCCACTGATGAATTAGAGACGAAAAATGTTGTGCATACATATGTGTGTTTGGATGTGAGGGAGAGGGAGAAAATGGTAGGAAAAGAAGGGAAGAGATTGGCACAAGTGTGTGTCTGCTTTCAGAGTGCATATGCTGGCTGTTAAATGTAAATCCTAGCTTGCGAATACTATTGCAAAGTTACTAATAGGGATCCTGAAAAGCCTTGTTGTGTTCTAAAAAATACTAAGAAAGAAGAGGCTGGAGCAGTCAGAATGGCAGTAGCATTGCCCATTAGTTTGAATTAGTTCTGCTCCTCAATGCTTTCATAAAATACTTGGTTCCAACTCTTCCTCCTCCTTGTAAGTTAGTAGTTCTTCTAGCCATTGTATGTTTTCCCCCCTAGGATTCTGTATTCCTTCCAGAAATTCCCTTTCTCAAGCCATGATGTTTTTCTCCTTTAGGTTTTCAATGAGTGTCTGATAATCCCAGCCCAAGTAAATGGCTTTATGTTCATACACAGTTTACAGCACAGTGGCAGATCAATCATCTAGAAAATAGTTTGCTGGTGAACAAGTCGGTCAAAGCATTCTGGGAAATCGTTTACTTTCTTTATGACTAAGTAAGGCCTGAAGGGATGCAGATGGGAAAATATACTCTGTTTACTGCAAATAATTTGAGAAAGACACTTCTACCAGATTGTGCATCTCCTAGTTGATAGGAAAGACTCCGGCACATTGAATTATTTATTTAGATGAGTAGAAATGCTAAAAGAGCACCTAACCATATGTTTTAGATGCTGCTGGCCTCACTAAAAATGCATCACAAATAATACCTTAAAAGTACTGCAGCATGACATGATATAAACCACCTCGAGGAAGCAACACAACCTATAAGCTTAATTACTCTAAATACTGTAGCAGTTACTCATCCTTGCAATTCATCCCATTTTTTTGAAATGCCTGGGGTTAAACATGAGCCTTGCAGTTTCTCCTTGTGTGGAACGTGTAAGCATGATGTGCTGAATTATCAAACTAGATGCCGATAGAGGCATCTGCTCACACTCTGCAAAGTATTTCAAAGCTTCCAAACCAAACTGCCTGTGTGTGGCTCACACGTGAGTCTTGTTATGAGACTGCTGGTGCTGTAAAAGCTGGGGCAGAAGTGGGGACTGCACCCTACCAGGAATTCAGAGGGAAGCTAAGAAATCTGCAAGAATTCCAGAAATTCTATTGCAATCTGCTAAAAGGCAGTGTCATATGATCATATTTACTATGGCTTGTGTAGTTGGGTCCTGTCTGTGACTTGAATTCTCAAGGGTTGTGGTAATACATAAAGAACAATGAAGCAATAGAATATGTGCTCTAAAAGAATCAAGAATAATGTTGTGAAGTGTTGTTTTTCCTGTGAAAACTTTCTTTGGTTGCTGGGCATGTTGATCTCTTTCTTCAACTCTACCATCAACCTATAATGAAAACCAGTAGTTCTGACTTTGGTATGATGAAGTTTTTTTTTATCAGAAAACAGGATAGGCTATATTAAACCTGGAGTTTCAGTAATTTTTGACCCTTATTCCTTTAAAATGTTTATTTAAAGAAAAAGAAGCCTAATAGAGAAATGTTCAATTCTTGTCTTGCTTAGTTTGCTGAATTTCTCCTCTTACATAACATTGTGAAGGACAAACAATGAAATCCCTGGCTGCTCTCCCTGAATCGGCTGTTTTATCTACATAACAAACAGGAATTTTTCCATTGCCACACTTGATTACAGGTTTTCTCTATGCAAAACCTCTGATACTGGGCAGTTCCATGAAATGCTTTGGGATTATACAATTTGAGTCTAAGATGAATAAAGTCTTTATGCATTTTTTGAAATCTGCATAAGTAAGCATATCTCTTCCTCACAGTTTAGCAGGTTTCAGGGGATGCTGATATTTCACTACATACTGAAAGACTGCAAGGCAGCAATACCAAAATAGGATTACAGGCTCATATCTGAAGAGAGGCAGTTTCTTACTTCTGAGTAGTGGTGGTTTCTGTAATACTCATTCACGTTAAAATCAATCAGATCAAGTTTTAGGCTCTGCTTACACAGCTCACATGTCTTTACTGCTCTCAGATCAGCACCTGCAATAAGACAAAGAATTAAATGTTTGACTTTAAACTACATTGTGCATGTAGTCTAGGAGGGAGGGAGGAAGGGCAGGGCTACCTTCAATGTTCTGTCATCACTGTTTAACATTGCTTAAACACCTTTTTTTTTTTTTACTCATTCTGCCTCTCAAACTACCTCAGAAATTCCCTTTAAACTGGATTGCTTCCCTGTTTTCAAGTAGCACAAGGGGAAGTTTAAATTATTCTGCAAGGACAGGATTTGGGGAAGGTTTGGGAAATGTGAGTCACTTCCCCCAAGTTGGGGGCAAGCCAGGAATTTAAATGAACAAGGTCTGGCTGAGAACCAAGTACACAGGATTTAACTGATACATCATCTGCCTTTTAACTGAAGAAACAAAGCTGGCATGAGCTATTATCTTCCCACGTGCAGGATCAGAATGCTACACAATGAACAGTAGGCTAGTGTGTGTGTATATCGTGTACCTACGTACTGCCTTTCTGGAGGTTAATTCTCTGGTTATTATTTGATGGTGGCTTTTTTCTTTGTATTTTTAAATACTTAAGGGTAGTAAACTTAAAATTATAGAATGCAAATGAGGAATTCCTGAAGCCATAGTGTATTTAAATGCCTAACACTACAGAAGTGTATTTAAAAGTCTAAATATCAAACTGTGTAGTGATTGCCTTCAATCACCTGATGATGTGCTCCACACTGAAAATGTGCAGCTTCCTTAGAATTTTAATTTGGAGCAATAGAACAACACTGGTACTCTTCATTCAGAATGGAAATAGAAAGATTAGAAATAGAAAGATGTTATGCAAAAATAAATAAAAGGCCCTGACGAGGGAGAAGGAAAGCAAAGTTCATACAGCAGTAAAATGAACAGGCCTCTTCTGTAGCTGGAAGTAGCTTTCCTGAATACTGAAATTCATTCTGCCTATATTCCTTCTTTGCCCCATGTTCACATATTTCATTTTATGGATTTCTCATCCAAATTTTCTCTTGCCAATAGTCTTGCATGTGTGGTTTATGGCCCCTAAATAAAACTTGCTGTTCACCTGATACTGCTATGAGTTGGTAAAGATTGGCTCATTAAATCTTTCAGCACTGCATATTGGACACCTTATTTTAATCCAAACCATGCACTAGAAAATTAAGATTTTTAGTCATGGTGATATGCTGACTACAAACCAGAAGCCTAATCAAGGGCATTAATTTCTATGGGTATTGCACTATGCTTGTGCTACAGGCAAATACTACAGTACTGATCAGGTGAGGAGTTTAAATTTATTCGAAGACGATTTAAGACTTCACCTGGTCTAACTCCATTAGCATGTTGGATTTCGTTGGGAGGTAACTCTGGCACAGGCATCTCAACAGAACATTTTACATCTTGTGGGTTTTTCTCACACTTACCTGACTTTATTTTGGTTTCGAGCCATTTTTTGAGACACTTCTCATGAACAAACTGCAGGCTTCCCACACAGCCACATGGCTCTAGCAGCGGATTGGTAGGAGAACCTCCAGCAATCTGACATATACGACACCGATCCCCTTCTTCTCCTGAGTCTTCTGCTAGGAGACTATTAAGACATATAGAAGAAAGCAAAAGCTTCTCTTAGCAAAGTCTAATAGTCAAATAAGGGACAGTATCCTTGTGCTAATGTTCTAAGATTTGGAGAGATTTGCTCAGGACTCTTACTGCAGGATGGTGAGCCAACAACATAATACGCAACAGTCCAGAATTATTGTTTCTTTAACAATTGTGCAAGGGAAAAACCTTATAGTCTCCAAATCCCCTCTAAGCTTTTGCATAATCAACATCTGACAATATATTGTTGAGAATCATATAGCCATATATTATATAGCAATTGGGGTGTTTGAACTGCCTCTGAAGCATGAGGAATATGCTGCTGCTACATGTTTCCTCCTGAAGCTGTGTTGATATTTGATGCATTTTAAAAATTTGTCCTACGTGGTTTTCTTTCTAGAAACTTTTCTAGATTTTGAGTGGTGCAGGAGAGTTATTTCTGGTTAAGAGTGATATTTTAATCAAGCAGGAAAAAAAAGTAGTATTATATAAGCATATTAAAGGCTTTCTAATTACGGATAATAGATGAAAGCAAGCAAACTACTTAGTGATTGTAATTTAACACTTTTTGCATGAAGTCTAAATTGTTCTTAGTAAGCAGGCTTCCCAACAAAAACATGAGCCTTGATTTTAACTCTAGATTAATTTTGTAAATTATAAAAAAAAATCTGAATATAAAAAATAATTATTGTTCTTCCTTCTTAATGTGTTTAAGCCCTAGCCCCATAGAGCTTCATCTCGGCCCTTAATTATGGCCTTCTACTAACAGCCCTCCATGCTACTTGTGGCACTTCAGAAAACCAGTTTCTCCACATTATCCCCTCCAATAGATTGGATTTACCCCCTCCCTGTTCTTTTCCATCCCCTTCTAGCTGTGGTTTGGTTTATCCAAATGGTTTATGTTGTGAAGGAAGCAAAAGGCTTTTGGCTGGTAGGCTGGAGACTGGTTTGCATGAGTATTTACAGCCTTTTAGTGCAAAGCTGGAAAAACCTGTAGCCGGGTTTCATTCTAAATGTTAGCTCTGTGCATAGCAGGGCACCTGCAGTCTGGCCTTTACATGATTTTTTTTTAAAAAAAAAGATTCAATATGGAAGTTCTGCCTGGCTGATTGCTAAGTTCTCTGGGATAAATGGCAAACTTCAAAATGGAGACAGTTGGTTTATTTCTAAGGAAGCTGACGACAGAAATGTTCTTCCTTGATAACATCTCTGAATCTAATTGTTTAAGCAGTTCCTCGAGACAGAGCGAGCAGCTTGCTGATTACAGCGAGCAGCAGGGAAACCTATTGCTCCCTCATTCTGCCTTTATTTGAAAGTCTCTGCAGTCAAAGAAATTACTCTATTTAGACCACAGAGAAAACAGGACAAGTAAACACTTAAAAATAGCTTTGACAAACAAAGCAGTGCTTCTTAAGACTTGAACTTTTGATTGCAGATGAAATACATGAAGTTGAGCTTAAGGGGTTAGTGCTTGTTAAACAGGACCTATCCCAAAGCAAGCCCTACAGAGGAATGAAGTGAGGAGCTTTATGACCATTTCTCCTTACCATATATACCAGGCTGAGAGGACACACTTTGGGCTGTGGTGGACTGTCACCTTTTGGAATCTATTCTTGCCTCCAGCTCATTAACAATAAAACCACAAATACCCCTCATGTCACTGCTCAAGAAGCTTTAGCAATATTTGCTCATGTTTGTAGGAATAAAGTGAGCATGTGGCTTGTGATTTCTAGAAAGGGTATGGGAGGTAAATGCCATCTTCTAATTTGGTAGTTCTCAGTGCTGCCAACAGAATGACACCTGTAATCACTTTAATATTGGCATGCCAATATTACTAGAAATCATGGTTGTCATGAATGATAAAGACTGAAATACAACTGGAAGAACTATAACTTTTTTCTTACTGTAAATAAAATTTGAAAGATGAGTTTGTGTTCTAGCTGTTGTGTCTTTATGTTAGTATGTAAGCTTTGTTAGTAAATATGCTTACACATTTATTTAATATTTCTTACCTTTCCTGTAGTTGTTTAAGTTTTTCCTGATCTGCTGGTGGCTTCTTCACTTCCTCTGAGCTCACTGACTGGGAGGCTCTTGTGTTGCTCCTACTGCTATTTAGATTTTGTAATGCATACACTGCCAACAAAGCAAATGGCAACTGGTCGTACAAAGCAGAAGCTGCCGGGGGATTTGGAGTGAACCTTGCCTGAAACCCAGATGGGCCGGGAGAATCTAGGGATAAAGAACTAAGTGAATTTTGTAAGCTCGCCACGTTTGGTGAGGCACCGCTGGGAGATGAAGTGTTAGAGCTGTCTTCCAGGAAACTGGTGTTTTCGGGTATACAGTGAAGAGACATTGAAAACTCAAAGTTTCCAGGAGGAGAAAGGGAGTCCCTATGGTGTAAAAGACACAAGGGTGTATGCACAGTGAATTTTGAACTACCATCCAAATCTGGTGTTTGTGGAGAAACTGTTGTTGAGCTCCTGTTTGTTGAGGACTCGGGTCTCTGCGCAGACTGAGTTAATGATCCTTGACTGTTAAGTGTGGAATGTGGTAAAGACATGGGAAGCACCGACGAAGTCTTTGGAAGAGATGAATTAGCTGCTCTCCTTTCCAATTCAGAAGGACCTGCAGTATCTGTATAATTCCCATCTGGAGGGTACAGCTTGTCAGTGTCTCTAGATTTTCTCCTTTGTGGTTCAGTAGCTTTGCCTGCTAACTTTTTCTTTCTTAAAAGCCAACGGGAAGGTTTCCCCTGCCTTGATGAAATAGTTTTATTGTTTATGCCTTCTTCCAAGATATGTTCACCTCGTGCTAAGGATATTTCACTAGATCTGTGGCTGTGACTTGGAGCACTAGGAAGGTGGTTAACATTTAGATGAAGACTTTCTTTCTCCAGCCAATTAGCATCTTTAGTTTCTTCCATTTCTTCGTGAGAATCTTTTGTGTTTAAGTGCTGGACGGAACAGGAATTTTTCCCTCTGGACCTAAAAGGAGCTCTTCTATGGCGCAGAAGTGACAAACCACTCAGTCTGTTAGCTGCAGAGGAACCACCAGCTTCCTGGGCAGTAGATGTGGATGGCTGAGCCTGGGTCTGAGCAAGTACGCTTCCTATTTTGTTTTTTCTCTCAAGCCCCCTGTGATCCAAACTGAGCGTAGAGGACTGTGTTGAACTCTTTCTTCCTGGAGATTTCTCCCAGTTCTGCAGTGCAGTCTCACTTGATGGCCCTGCATGGTCCTGTGGCACTCCAAGATCTGTGTTCAAAATAAAAGCACCTATCAAAACACTCTTACTTCTGTATCCACTGTTTAATGCAGGTTTGGAGCAACTTAAAAATATTCTCATACTGATGCTATGGCACAGTCAGCTATAGGTATGTCTAGTTCTAGTATGTTTCTTGTCAACAAAATGAATTTATTCATGAACTCTTCTAGAATGCAGACACAGTCAATATTGCTTGTCTGGTAGGACATGTAGGAGCATGTGAAGAAAGCTAGTAAATACTACCAAGTGATGCACTGGCACCTAGGAAGGCCAATTAATATTTACCTTCTCCCTGGAATGTGTTCTGACCCACCCAGTCCTTGCTTTATTGAATGTGCAGGTTCAGAAGAAACTACCACTACGGGAGCAATAAAAATGCATTGCCCACTTGGGTTAAGGGCTTGTCTCCTAATGTAAGAGATGGGATTTTATCACGGTTGCTTATTATGTAGTGATGTAAACTTTTAGTGAGCACTTTAATCTGTCCCAGTTTGAATGTGAAGCAGAGTTGATTTTTATAAGTACTCTGGGGGCGGCCTGCTGTTTGTTATAAGCCTCAAGGGCACCTTGCAAAAGAACTGTGTTAACATTTACACTCAAAACCATATGTTATGATAACAAACAAACAAACAAAAAGTTTTAGAGTTTCTAATTATTATCTTACAAAGCATGTTGAGTAAATCAACAGGAAATTTGACAAGCCTTGTGAGATGACAGGGAGTCGAGTTTCCTTGTGTAGTGCAGGAATGTTGGTTGGCTGGCCATAAATCTAAGAATCGTGTCCATTCTTCAGCTCATGCAAAGCCTGAGGAGGTGCTGAGAGAAGGTATGACCCTTACCAAATAAAAGGCTTTAAAAAGGCCATTAACACTTATGAATGGAAGTGCTCATATACAAATTAAGACAGGCCCTAAGGCCCTAAATTCTCAACAACATTAAGTTCTACTAAGGACTTTGCTGGCTGTAATTTAGCTTCTGAAAGGTGAACCAGCTCACAATAAATCTTTCCCCATACCAGCTTGACTGATTTGTTAGCTGATGCTTGTGTAAGGATATTAGGACAGAATCAAAGCTCTAGCTGCAAGCTGAGCTAATGTGTAAGGAAGACAGTGGCAAAACCTATCTATGTATGCTTTGTGGAGCACCACTGAGGTACCAGGCCAATAATCACCAAGTGACAGGCAGTCTTCTGGTATCTCTTGGCAGGACTGCGTCATGCTGCAAAATCTTTAAACTTTTTTCTCCTTCTACTTCAAAACAATGTATTTGTCTTCTAGATAGCAATCTGAGAGTTCCTGAAGACAATGAAAGTGCTAACTCCAAGATGATAACATCAGAGCAAGAAAAATGTCTAGTGCTGTATTATTTTTCCACAGTTGACTCTTTGCCCACGGGCCTAGCAGAGAGAGCTGTCCTAGCCTCAAAAAAATTCTAAATGGAAAATATAATCAGTAGTCAGGACCTTTGTGTGGGAGATAAGATAGTGGATTCAGTCTTTTAGCTCTGCTAAAATTCACCCTATACAAATCCCTTGCTGTGCCTTAGTTTCTCACTGAAATGGAAATAATCGACCCCACAGGAATGCTGTAAAGATAAACCCATTTAAATGGTGGAGTGTAGCTGGAAACAAATCGGGGGTAGGGGAGCAGGTAAGTAGCTGAAGTAATCAGGGAAGTGTGCCTGTGTGCATGTTAAGGATAAAGAAAGCATGAAGATAAAAGATACCAGGGATGGCACGGGGAAGTGAGGGACCATATCCCTAGTCTGAGGGAGTATGAAGAGCACAGACAGAAAGGCCACTTGGGACAGGAAGGTTTTAGAATAAACTTTGCTTTGAATCAAATGTTGTTGATAAAGGAAAGTTAGGGGTTTTCTCCCTACAGATAAAACAAGCTACACTCATAAAAATGACTTGTGAAGCCACAGTCATCTTTGACTTTTGTTTTATTTATAAGCAGTGAGTGCTTTCTCTTTCTTGCTCTCCTTTCCTCTATCTCCTCATCCATGGCTGGGAAGGAAGGGGAAAAAAGACTGATTCTAAGCTGCAAATGACTGTCTGACTAAATCAAGGCAGCCCTTTACTCTGGAGACTCCTTGTTGATTTAAGTGAAGCTTTGAATGGAAATAAGATTTTGTCCTTACGCAGTTACAAGATCAGGGCATTTGTTAATTTTGACTCTACTTTCTCCCCAAATACCTGAGGCCTATTTTCTGTTCTAAATTAAACTAGAGACATGAAATAATGCTGATGTAAGTGGAATTACCTCAGACCTCTATGAATGCAAAGTGGGTGGATTTATCCTTGACTTTAAAATACTTATTTCTGATGAACAATGTTCTTTGAATTAGTGGAGTGCAAAGATGCAATAAATGAAAACTAGCAAAGGACCTATTCTACTTCCTGTCTAAAAAAGTTAGCACTGTCTTGTATATTCAAGGGCATTTTTGATTGTATAGAGATCCCTGAGTGTGATTATTCCCATCAAGAACAATATCAAAATAGCTTTCTGTTTATGTAAGCTATTTCTACAATGATATGAAACTGCAAAGACAGTCATTCCTGCAAATCTGTTTTTCTTATGGTCCTGCTCTTTGTCTTTAGAGATGTAGTTGCATTCCCATAATCCCCCTGAAGAAGAGAAACTATCCATCTGCTATGATATTTAGTGAAGAATCTTTGTTGCATAAATATTTTGAGCTTTGCTTAAAAAGGGAATAACACTTTAAAAAGCAACTTGCTGGCATACATACCAACTGACTTCACTGCAACAATAAACTGATTAGCTAATCCTGGCAAACTTTGTATTCTGAGAATTTACTTATATGCATTGTTAGGCTGGAACTTGCTTAACGGCTGCTATTTAAATTAGAGGGCTTAATTTAGTTTTACTTTTTATCATAGTTAAACTAGAAACTAAACAACTTTCGTTTTTTGTATTTTAAATCCAAATAATTCATTTTAAATTACTTTGTTATTTCAACCCATTAAGTTCCATATAATATGGACTTGATCCTGTTCTTATTAAGGCCTGGTGCACATGACTGCAAAACTCTGCACTCTGTGGGGATAAGGCAATTAGGACGTGTGCTTTACCTCTGGCCTTCGAGGCCATGTTTCACAACTAGCTAAAGGACATGTCTGCATATTCTGCCATTTGTTGTTCTAAAGCATCTGCTGTTCTGACCAATGGCTCCAAATCATTCATGTGATTCAGTAAGGCAAAATTTGGATGGGAATTACACCCTTGAATAATAAACTTTCCTCTCTTTGACAGTTTAAAAATGACCTAAAAATACAGGCATAACTTTTACTTTGGGACTACTGTGTTATTAAAAGAGGCTGTTTATATGAAGAAAATAAAACAGATGTGCTCACTGCAGTACTATAATAATAATGAAACTGCAAGGTATCTTGCCAGCCTGCTATTTCTAGAATCAGGCAAGACTCAAATTCATGTATCCAGTACTCACCTGCAGTGACTTTATTTGGGTCAAGTACATCTTTCTCTACTTTTTTAAAGCTTATGTTGGGTTTCAGCTTCTGCTTGACTGATATCTTGTCTAAAATAGGAAACTTAAAGCCTCGTTTATTCCCAGAAGATTTGATGGCAGATTTCTGTTCACTTCCAGAACATTCATTTGCAGAGGTCTAGAAAAGTAAAAGAGGGGCCTGAGCATCATCTACTCAGTGTGGGGGGAGGGAATGCAGTACAAATTAAGCAGTAAATCTTTTAAATGGAAGGAACAAAGAGATGCACCTTCCATAAATAGAAAGTCCCTTTCTTCTCTTTTCACACTGATCTCCCTTCCAACTGTATAACATGTACTGAAGTCAGATATTTCCAGATAACATAGTATATTTTTTTGTATTGGTTTGGGTTTTTTTGCGGGAAGAGGGGGAGGATTCAATTTTATATGAAGCTCTTTTTCAGAGGATGGGAATCTTTACTAGACAAATTGGGGCCTTTGTTAAAAATCTTTATCTCAGATACTTGCCAGAGTATTATCACCATTGCAAGAATAAAGCTGTAAGCTGTGTTTAATCATAGTAAGACTGACTCTGTGCTCTTAAAAAGTAAAACTGTAGCATGAACAGATATACGAGTGAATACTTCCTGCTAATTTTATTAGATTGGGTAACTTGCAAGTCTGATTTGAACTCATGACCTTTTGCATGTTAATGCCATCAGAGGAACTACAATGTAAGTCATTCAAACCAAGTCATGGTTGTTCAATTACAAAACACTTTATATGCTCCTGTTCCACAAAACAACTCTGCCTTCTGTCTTTCAGGGAACAGGCACGACCTTTGTCATTATGATGTTAGTGTTTTTCAGTTATACGTATCCCTTTCTCACTAGCACTCAGAAATGAATACCAGTCTTAAACTCCTTGTAATGAGATAAAACATAGTGACTTTTTATGTTAAGGGATGTTCAAATAAGAATACAAATGCCGAGTGCTATAGAATGGAAAGCTAGTTTTCAGGTTAACATGTCTCAACAATGCTTACATGGTTTAGAATAAGAATCCAACAAGCTGTGAGATAAAATTTCCTTAGAGGAGCTTAAAAAAAAAAGCTATGTTAATCAAAAATGAAATAAATTTGTAATACATTTGCAGGCACAATGAACTTTCTATCCCAATTACAGACTAACAAGTTCACACACTCTGGCTGAAAGCAGCACCTCATATTGAAGCAAGAGCTTATTGGTGGAGTTCTGTAAATACTTACCAGTTCCTGTTTGATTACACTTCCCTGCTTGATAAACATGATATTTATTTGCATTGCTCTAAAGCAATACCTAAGAGAAATCCCGTGTCAGAAGTTTGTATATGGGTAGTAAGCAAATGTTCTCCAAGACAAGTATACTTAACCTATACTAAACCCTTTCTCTCTCACAAATTGAGAAAGCCTACACATGGCACTGGTAAATGGTTAAGTCTACATTCACTGAGTTGAAAAAAATAAAGAAAAGACACTTCTATTACATTATCTGTGTGTGGGAAGAGGAACATTAGGATGACTCAGACACAGAGACTATGTTGACACCCTCGATTCTAAGGGCAGTAAAGGACTCCTTTCTCATCTTCTTTCAGAGATCTTTAGTACAGTTGGAACAGAACCTGTAAAAGGAGGATTTGGGCTTTTGTTTACATATTCATAGAGAGATAGAGTCAAAGAGCTGTAACGTGTACCAACATATACATTACTCACAATCTGGCAAATTCTGTATAAACATAATCTTCCTCTTGCATAGTATAAAGAAGAGATTGCTGAACCTTCTCTAGAAAAAAGGGAAAACTTCTGTGGAGCAGGGGCAAATGTCTAATGATATAGCTGAAATCCTAGAGTATTAGCTGAGATATTAAATTTAATAAATGCAGAGAAACATCTTGGGAAATGCTGAGCCACAGTCAAAATGGTGATAAATGTTAGACAGTCACTGGAAGATAATATTGTTAAATCTCTGAAGTACCCTCTCCTAAGATCTACCTGCTCTGATTCTGCCAAGTACCCTCCTGAATCTGTTTTCTACAGTATGTTGCATATTTTAATGAAGATTATTCCATTAAGCTGTATCACAATTGTACATTCAAAGTGTTGTGTTATTTGTTGGTATTACATCAACATTTCAACCATAAGCAGAAAATATTGTCATCCAAATTAGCAAAGTGTTTCTAGTTTGCATTCAGAAAATGTTGATATGACACATCTTGCAAACTTTGCATTAAAAGTTTAAAGTGAAAAAATACTACAGTAGAAAGGAATAACAAGACAGATTGTTATAAAAGCAGAATCTAGGGGATTCAACTTAAATACTATTTTAATTTTATAGAATTTATATCTTGCTATATTAGTGACAGTTGACCAACTTAGTGACAGTTGGTGAGTCCAGTTTTCTTAATACTCAGATAAATTGCTGTTTTCATTTCATTCTGGGAATACTTCTTTGCGTAAAGGGCTTTAGTATGCCCTACCACAGCTTCACTCTTCTAGTTAAATATCCTTGAATCATCCAGATGCTCCCTGTTGCTCGTTGCTCTGTTATGGGGCTGCAGGTCTCCAAAGTGTTGATGCTATTGCAAAGCCTCTGATGATAGAGCTATATGTTAGAATGGTCACTGAAGTGTGGTGTAATTTACTTTAGCATATGGTGCAAATAAGGAGCAGCGCAGGAACAACAACAAAAGCTACATATGCTCATTTGTTAGCTTGGGTTGTAAACCTCAGACAAGACAGAGAATTGTTCTATATCCACAGATTAGAAAGCAAGAAAAGACACATTATTCATTTTAAGATGATTAAGATTCTTCTCAAAGGCGTAATTTCCTTTCTTTTCACCCAGATATTCTTAATGTTTATTTAAGCTGAGATCATAGTATGCATAATTGTCTAATCTCACAGTCCATTTTAACCCACTTAGTTCCACTGTTTTAATTCCATTTGGTTTTCAATCAGGGATAAAAATTAAGTGCAGTATTTCAAAACACAGAACTGAGATATCAAGATGAATCTTTGTGTTAGGAAGAGTTTTATTTTGGTTTCAATTCCCTATTTAGGCAGGGGTCTTAAACTGTTGGGAACAGAGCTGTACAAAAACTAGAGGGAGCTGTTGTTCACAATTCTTTCAGTCTGTTATTGCTTCATCTAAGATAAATTAGAAAGCTATTTCTTTTTCCTCACAGGAAAAATGTAGTGCCCAGAAAGCCCAAGAAGATCATAGTGGGGGAAGGATGGAGAATTAATGCAGGGGTATGGACTACCTGGTCTACTGGAAACATATGTATTAGCCATAGCATGGAGAAATCCAGGGAAGTAAATCTGAGGACAGCTGAAAGACTGAAGCAATGCATCTTTCAGTTTGAATGTATAAATGAATAAATTCACTCAGCAATGTACAAAATGGCTTCACTTTTGAAAGAGCAGAATAAATATTGTGACAAACACTGGAAATGAAATGGTAAAGCTTTGCTTAGTAATGAACAGATAAACCTGTAGATAGTCTGTTCATTTCCAGGCTACTGAATTAACTCAATAACTAGAAGAAAGCGCAATAAATAAACAGATTTTTCTCTTAAGGAAATAAGTGTTAAATAATGCAAAACAACCCAAATCCTCACCAAACTGTCTCAGTGTCAGATAAACAGCAATATCTGTAGGGTAAAATTTATTTCATTGAAAAGCTGCATGAATGTAAATTAATTATTATAATGCAAGAAATATGCAGAAGCCAAGTATATATGTTGGCACAAAAATCCTCTGGTATATTGAAATGAAATGCCTGTGTATTTGAGGGCTTCTCTGGTGAGACTCTTGTGAAATTTGCCAACCACCACACCAGTTTGGACTCTTCTTCATTTTTTAGATGATAGTCTGTCCTAAATTCACTTTGTAATTGTTTGTCAATAAAAGAATCCCTGCCTCGGGGACAGATGCCTTTTTAAAAAAAGTTTTTTTATCAAATGCAGTTTAGTTCAAATGAATATTTATACTTTTGGAGCAACTCAATAGTTTTCATTTATTGTGGAGTAGTCTGGAAGAATACAAAGTGTAACTCCTTTTAGATGAGAGTTAAGTGGAAGATGCATTCCATGTGAGTAGATAAGCAGTAAGTAAAAACTCTAAAAATGCATTTGGTGTGGATGTCAAATCCTTGCCATCAGCTCTTTTACTCTGTAAATCCACTCTCACTGAGCTGCATTACTGCCTGATGAAGGTATAAGCCACAGTTACCCAGAGACTAGTCTAAGAAGATGCAATGAATGTCCAGCTGGTTACTGCCCACTATAGACCTTTGACTGATTGTGACCAACACTAATACCTATATATATTTTAATCTTGGTTGTCTCTATGTACCCTTATTGCTATAGAGGTCTGGGGGAGTGGAGGGAGGTAAAACCAAAACAAATTATGTAGTACATAATTCTTTCACTGAAAATATGATGAAAGAAAACACAGGGCAGAAATAGTTTATTTTGTTTATTATTTTGTTCACCTAATATACTGCTGTCATCAGTGTACTAACCAAAACAGAAGTGAGGGGGTATGTGATCAGTGCATTCAAGTTGCTATCAGAAATATACACCAAAACCCTAACACAACTATTACAAAAGCACTGCCACTTGCAAGAGAAAGTGCATGGGATAGGCGAGCACACCCAGCCTAGGTATTCACCATGTGCGTGTTTGAACGTTTGGCAAGTTCAAGGCAGATTGCTTTGCTTTGTAGCATAGGGAAGCCTGGATGAAGCCAAGTCAAAGTCATATTGTCTGCATTTGCCAACAGTGTGCACATTAGGGAATGACTCTGACCTAAATGTAATGACCTGATTTGAAAACACTCAACTATGTAAGGGAAATGGTTTCACAGTGGTAGAAGGCACAGAATTTTTCCACATTGTTTGCTACAGTTCATACCCTTAAGCCCTTTCCTAGAACTCCCTCCACACTTCCTCCTGAAACGCAGGAAGGCAGAGAGGCAACATGCCATCTTTTTACAAAATGGTTTAGGAGTTAAATTGCTGCTCAGTATGCAGGAGAACTGAATTTATTTCCCCTCCGTATGAATGCTTTAGTTGCTAACTTCTTGCCTCTAGTGGGGGTGTTTATAAGCTTACCCTTGTATCATTTAGTTAGTGGTTGACT